AACCCCCCCCCCCCCTCCCATGCAAACTCAACAAGTGATTCTGAAGAAATCTATTTCCCTCTGACAAAACTCCAGTACTAGAGCTTGTAGTTACTATTGAAGACAGTTACTTTCCTGCTAGCTTTAGCTTTCTTTACAGAAGATATATAAAACACAGGACCTGAAGTCTCCTGCAATAGGCCACACTCCCTGGATTCCTATTCAAGTCCACAGGAATCGAGGGCACTCAATGTCTTATAGGATCAGGTCTACATTATGCTTACTATAAATAATGCATCCACCAGTTTTTCAGAATTAAAGCACTTTAGCCTGTTAAGAACAAATAAGTTGCTTTTTGTTGCTTTTTTAAAGTTTTAAATCCCAAACATGCTTCTTGTTGCTCTTACCCAGTTTACCTGGGGCATTCTACATTATACTGAGGGCCAGAATCCAGCTGCCCTGGGTATTCTATCTGCTTTGTGTCACCAGGGAAACTGATCTATAATCTGCAGCATGTTTTTTAAAGGAATATATTTTCAGAAAGGAGAACAAGGGCTAATGCTGGTTATAAATGGTAGGAAAGAAGGAACAAAAGAAAAATCTTCAAAAAGTTTGTGATTGAGAGTGACACAGTCAATGACAATGCCACTCCACCTTCTTCTGCCGGAGACGATTACCACAGTGCAGGAAAGTGGAAGTGGAATCCTCAGCACGCATGGAAAAAAGAATCAAGTGATGCTGTAGGCTCCTTCCTGATAAGTTTGGTCAGCAAAAGGTGCAAAACACCTTGACAAAGGGAGCCCCTACTTGTGGGTGCAGGGGACAGAGCTAGCTATTCTTACCCATGCAGCCTTCATCATCCAGAAACGTTTTGGATTTCAGCACACGCTTCCGTTTCCGCTTCTTCCCTCCAGTCGGAGCCTGAAGGGATCCAAAGTGAAGTCAGGGTGAGTGTACAGAGCTGCTATGGGCATGATCAATGAGAGCCCAATGTAGTCAGTCAGGTCTGATGCACCATGCTCCCTTCCCCAGCACTCCCTACAGCCCTGCTTCTGTGAACACCATGCATTTCCGCACTTCATCCAGACAAACACATAAATGCAAGTTACCACCCTGACATGTCTTTACCTCAGTGGTTGTCGGCTCTAGTTCAATCTTCAGTGCAGGCTCTGGAGAAGGCGAGGGGGCGTTAGCTTCCGGAGGAGTGGGAGATACTGAGATATCTGCCAAAAGAAAAGGAGCTGGAGTCCGTGATGGCATTTGGGACAGCACCCCCTCTCCCCCTGTTAGCCTGCAGCGTTTCCCAGCTCACTTGTTAAGTACATGTAGCCCTTGCCTGTAAAGCTGCTGCCTCATCAAAGTCAGGGTAAACTGTTCCAAATGGCTGTCTGACGTTAGGCATGATCAATCCACGTTTAGGCTCCAAGTGAATGGCTAAGTTGCCAGAAGTGCTGCAAAGCCATAGTTCTCAATGGCAGAAGTGTGTTTTCAGCACCTCTGAAAACTCAGGTACTATTTTAGGCCCCCAAACTGGCATATGTTAGCATCAGTTACTATGCATTTCAATCACTGACAGACCCTCACAAAGGGAGGCCAAGCAATTTTCTGTTAGAGAAACTTAGGAGACTCAATAATTCCAATTCAATGCAAAACCTTCACTAAGTCACTCAATTTCTTTGTCTCCGCCCACTGGTAAAATGGACATGACACTTACTTCACAAGGGTGTCACGAATCTCAAACTGCTAGTGCTTACAGGCATTCAAATACTTTTATGAAAAGGAACTCTTAAGGGTAAGTTACAATATCTGAAGAGTTCACCAAAGGACAACTCTGTTCCCTCCCTTCCATTATAATTAGGGATGCTAAAATGCATTTCGTTAAGCGTTTCGTTAAGTAATTGTGTAACCGCTGAAAAATTCAGTTGCTATACAGTTGCACACTGGGGCAGGCAGCTCCCGCCTGCTACCTTCTGCTGCTGCCTCTGATAGAGGCGGGGGGGGCAGCTCTGTGGGAGCCAGTATGCATGTAGCTGGTCTAAAAGGCTGCCTCCCACACTGCTGCCTCAGATACAGAAGCAGCAGCGCAGGGGAAGATCCTGCGTGTAACCATGCACATTTAACCCATGAGCCTGGGTTCATTGTTTACTGTGTCAGTTACACTTTGACATTTCTAATTATACTCACTAGCTAATTATTTCATCTGTTCACACAATCTTTTCAGCATTTATACTATGCAGTCAGTCGGTGGGTGTGGAGGAATAGTGGCTGCAAGTTTCAAATTGCAAAAGGAACCTAACCTGATGCAGTGCTACCTTCAGGAGCCTGTGAAGCGCAGCACTAGTTCCAGAGCATTTCATAGCTTTGCCAGGCAGAAGCAGAGTGAAGCTGACAAGATTTGTAACTATGTAAGAGGTCTGGGTTCAATGCCCTCCGGATTTGACAGAGGGAAAGAAATGTGAAGGGGTCTTGTATTCAGCACAGTGCAAGAGGGAGATGTGCCTTGTATCTCTCAAGAGACACCATTCTGACTAGCTTACATGGCTGCTAGAAGAGTGAAAGTTGCCCAAGTGAAAGTTGCCCAGTGAAAGCTACTACCATGCGAGGCTTCAAACCTGGTGAGAGCTAGTAATGGGAGGAAAACCTCCTCCCGCAGTCTATGGAAGTGTTGGCTGGGGGAGAAAGGCAGTGTTCCTGGTTGGCTCCACCTCCTCCCTGTCTCTGCTGGCCACAGAGCAGCACACATACTGTAGCTGTAACATGAATTCTGGATCTGTAACTATCCCAACCGATTAGCTCAGTGTTAAGAGTTCTGACTGTGCCAGGCATGTGGCCAACTGATCTTCACAGGTTAATCCAGGGCTCAAGTGAAAGAATGGTTGGCTGCCAATGCTAAATAATAAATTACGTCCTTCAAACCAAGACTCGCGCTTCCAGTGAACGAGGCACAGAAACAAGCAGCACAATTCAGTATTTCACCTTGCTGCAGAGTTGGTAAATGTCAGGTGTTGTGCAAACACCAAAACCCAATGTGATGAAATAGGAACTTTCATAATGTTTTGTATGAATACTGTGTGTGCCATGCTTTCTCCATGTGTTGCACAAGTATCTAAGTGGTGGGACAAAGGTGTGAGATCATTGCAGAGACCCTGGAGGGCAGGTCTAACTGCCGGCTTTCTCCCAGAGCCCAAACAATAGCCAGACACTTCTGCACCCTGGAAACTGATGGCCAGGAGGTCCATCCTGATGGTCCATCCTCTGCAAGGAGCCAGCTGAAGGAGTTGGAGAATAGAGAGACAAAGAGACCAGGTGACCAGTTTGCCCAGGAAAGAGACAAAGGATAGAGGTGGTGCAACTTGGAGTGACTCAGGGAGGGCTGCTGGAAGTTGATCAGGCTCTCAGTTTGGATCTCGTAGGGGAGATCCCAGTGGTCTGGATCCCCCTCCACTCCTGCCCTAAGATGGACTTTGCAGAACCTTTGTACTTGCTAACAAAAACTGTGTTCCAGATGACTAATAAACCCTTCTGTTTTACACACTCTCTGAGAATCACTGCTACTGTGAAGTTGGAGTACATGGCCCCTTCTGGGGGCATGTAAAGCTTCCAACATGTCCTGCTCTGGTGGGCTTATTGAGGGGATGTCCCGGCATGAAACACATACTGAGATCAGGTGGGCAATGAGGCTTTCCCTAGTGAGAGAGATGCCTGCCCTGTGTGGTGCTGCATTAGAGGAGGCTCCTGTCTTGACATTCATTCAGAGCAATGTTCTCCCATGACACTCAACATCTGATCTTGTCCGAAGGTGCTACCTGCTGAGATAGGAAAGCCCAAAGACAGCTTTGCCTGGGTGAGATGTTGCAGAGAGTTTAAAATTCCCATTTTCAATATTCTGAAAGTAAGGGCCCTCCACGAGGAGTAATGGTAGTTCGAACTAGGAAGCCTAGTTCGAACTACCTAGTTCGTGCCGCGTGTAGCCGCGCGGCACGGGGTTCGAACCAGCCGGGATTTAAAAATGGCGGCGCCTGGCTTATGCAAATGAAGCCCGGGAAATTCAAATCCCGGGCTTCATTTGCAATTGCGGTATGCCTATTTCGAAATAGGAGGGTAGTGTAGACATACCCTATCAGATTACATTCAATTCACATTTTGAAAGTTACCTTAATAACCCAAACATCCACAGACCATTTGTATTAAGTGGGTATTTTAAGTTAGTATTTAAACTTCCCCAAGAAGTTTCAACTAGATAACAAGTTTTAGACAGGCTCTTAAAAATGTTGTATGTTGCTTTAAAAATGTTCAACAGTTCCCCTGGTGGGTGTTACAATTCCTGGATCTGTGGTCTTGTCTACCTAAGAAAGTTGTACTGGTTTAACTAAAGGTGTTATTTTCATTTTGACTGAATTCAGCTACTGCAAAAGCATGTGGACACTTATATCAGTTTCAGGGGAAGCTTATTTTGGTTTAGCTAATTAAAATTAAAAACAGGTTTAAGATAAACCAAAACAAACCACTCAAACGCATGCACCCTCTGTGTGGACATCCTTAATTTGGTTTATATAAACTGGTTTAAAAACGAAAACTATCACAATTTCAGGCCTGGTCTACATTAGAAAAGCTATAATGATGTAATTATGATGGTTCGGGGTGTGATCTTTTTACTGATAATTATACAAATATAAAAGGTGCCTTATAGAGATATAAGTTAATGCAATTAGCTATACAGATAGAACTGCACCCATACGAGAGTAGATTTTCATACTCCCAACTACACCCATAAAGTTAAAGCAGAAACACTTTCTAGCTGAGAGACAAAGTCTAAATTGAAAAACCAATTATAACTACTTCGCTCAAGTGAAAATCTTCTAAACCAAACAGGACTCGAACGAAGGAGGAGCTTGGACTCATTGAAGCACTGGAATGGATTATATTCTTTTTCTTATATTACATATGCACTGAACATTCTGCATTACTGCTGATGACAGAAACTACTCTTGTGTGAGTATATGCTAATCTTCTGACTTCGAAACCGTCTAGGCTTGGCTGTAATCATTTTAAATGAAATAGGGCAAAACGGAAAGGCAGATAGCAGTACCCCAAGACTCTTTACAACACCCCAGAGTTACACATTCAGAGACTGGATACTGAGCCAGATGAACCAAAGCGCTGATCCTGTGTGGCAGTTCCTATGTTCCTAATTTATTTAGGAGTATGGTGGTGACATTCTTAGAGTAAAGAGACAATGAACAGAAAACTGAAAACAAAAGTAGAACAACAGAGGGCATTTGCTAGAGACACTGAGAAAGGAAGAGAATACACCTTTACCTGGATCAAATTTTGAAGTAAACAACAGAATAACATACATCAAGGACGTTAATACCCAAAACAGAATAATCCAGAGCAAGTATATAATGGGAGAGACCAGGAGAGCTACAAGGCTGAGGTGACATCTGTGGTACACAAACATGTCTATGATGCACTTGCAATGCAATATACTAGCAAAAGAGGCGAATGGAACTTTGGGTTACATATGCACAGATACAGAATAGTCTCTCACTTGGCTCTATTGGAAACTTGAAGTAATGCATTCATCTCCAGTCACAATAATACTGACAAACTGGAAGAAAATCACAGAAGAGCAAAGAAAATGGTCAGATGGCTAGCCAGGCTGATTTTAATCTTCCCTCATAAGAGCTACATAAAGCACATTGGGGACTAATGGAAAAAGCCACATAACGTGAAGAAGCAAATACCAAGGCGGGTGAGCACGGGTTTGGTTTGAACTAAAAACAGTGGTACAAGGAGTTGTATATAAGACTAATGAGACTAAATTAGGAAAGAGAAAATTAAGATATACCCTCAGGGACTTGTTCCTGATGTTACGTCTACACTAGCTCGTTAGTTCAAGCTAGGTAGGCAAATGAGGGCAACTGGAGTTGCAAATGAAGCCCAGGATTTAAATACATTTAAATATCCACGGTTTCATTTGCATGTTCCCGGGCGCCGCCATTTTTAAATCCCCCTTAGTCCAAACTAACTGCCCGTGGCTAGACGCGGCAGCTAAATGTTATTTCGAACTAACTCCTTAGTTAGTTCGGACTAAGGACTCGAGGAGTAAAAGTTAATTCGAACTAAGGAGTTAGTTCGAATTAATTTTTAACTGCCACATCTAGCCCCGGGCAGTTAGTTCGGACTAAGGGGGATTTAAAAATGGCGGCGCCTGGGAATATGCAAATGAAGTCCGGGATATTTAAATCCCAGGCTTAATTTGCAACTCCGGTTGCCCTCATTTGCCTACCTAGTTCGAACTAACGAGCTAGTGTAGACATACCCTGAGAGATTTATCAGCCTGTGGAACAGCTTCACGAGGGAAGTGGAGGAAGTCTAATCATGTCAAACGTCTAAAACTAGACTGAACAAAATGCAAACAAATTCTGAATTGGCAGGGAGATTGACAAGAGGATCTAAGGAGTCTTCCCATCTCTAATTTATGACACAACCCCCATTCATTCTCAAATATTGCACAGTATTATTTCTCATAAGGCAAGAGCATCAATTCTCATCCTGTATTCCAACCCTTTGGCAATACAACCTAGTATCAGTTGTACCTTTTCTTACTGTCAGACACTGAATGAGGGTTTCATTCATTTTTCAACAAACTCCAAATTCTTTTCCTAATCAGCTTGTTGGATGACTGTTTCATTTCACATACATTCCCTAGCTTGGCTCCCAATTATATATAGTAAATAACATCCATCACCTCAAAATACCCAAGACCTTTGGAATCTGGCTGTCAGTTCCTCATTACAGGCCCCATTCTTGCAAAGTTCTGCCCACTCAGCTTCCATCAAAGTCAATAAGAACAAGGGCACTCAGCACCTTGCTGACTTAGGCTGTATTTTTTTCCTCTATTATCTGTATTCTTGAAAAATCTCATGTTAATAGTAATGCAAACAACATCTATAAACATTCTGCATAATCAAGATCCTAAAAACTAACTCCTGGAGCTCCCTACTTGCAATTTACTAATTGAACTGGTTAGGACTCTGAGGAGGGCACTATACCTCTCAGAGTATCATAAAACTCTCTGGCACAAGTTAGTGCAACTGACAACCAGTGCTCCCTCTAATTTTTCATGTGCAACAATTGCCTCCATATTGGTGCATATAACGAAATTCATTCTGCTCATGGATGATCTGTACGTGGGGTTGAGGGATTCAGAGTGTGAGAAGAAGCTCAAGGTTGGAGGGATGAAGGCTCTGGCTGGGAGTGCAGGCTGTGGGGTGGGGCTGGGGATGAGGTATGAGGGAGCTCCAGGTGGGGTTCGAGAGGTTCTGAGTACAGGAGTGGGCTTGGAGCAGAAGGCTGGGATTGGGGAGAGGGGTGGGATCTGGGCAGGAGTTAGGGTGCAGGAAGGTGCTCAGGGTTGGAGTTTGAGGTCTAAGAGGGAGCTAGGGTGGTGGATGGGCCTCAGGACTGAAGCAGGGAGTTGGAGGGCAGAACACTTAATTGAGGCAACTCCCATTTTGAGGGGACATAGACAGTGTGCTGCCCTGTGCTCACCAACAGGCACTGTCTCTCACAGCTCCCACTGGCCTCAAGTCCCAGCCAATGGGAGCTGAATAGACAGCCCAGCCCCTCACGGTGACATGGCTCCAGCCAAGAGGTGGGAGAGGGAAAAGGAAGGAACAGCAGCATGCAGAGCTGCCAGAAAGGGCTGGCCCAGAACAGAGACTTTACAGCCCCAAAGGCCACCTTCTTAATCAGGCCCTGCTGCTGGGTCCAGAGGAGGGTGCCTCTGCCTTGTCTGCACCAGCTCCCTGCCAGGGTCAGGGGAGAGACATGATTCTCCAGAGCTAACAGGGAGCTGCTGTGATCAAGGGAAAGGGGCCTCTTCCCCAGCCACTGCAGTCCTGTGCCAGTAGCTCAGAACCCCTGCCTGAGGCTTATTAGGCAGCTCTGTGGCTTATAGGGAACCTTGCTGGCAGCACACTCAAGAGGACAGAGCCAAGCCTGAGCTAAGTCACAATAAGACCAAATTACTCGGGGCCTCCAGAAGGTTCTCTGAGGTGGCTTGTGGCAAAAATAACGGGGGAAGCTCAGACTGCAGCCATTTGCATGGATACTGGGCCAGCAAATACATCTGAGGTCATCCAAATTACTTCCTCAACTGTTGGCTTTAACAGTCTTGGGTGGTATTATCCCTTAGTAATATGATGAAAACAAGAACACCTGTCCCAGGTTTCCTTCATTAGTTTCTTGCAATCACATCTTCTTACCTTCATCTTCACTGCTGTCAGACTGAGGCCGTTTGATTCGCCTCCTCTTTTTCTTCAGATTTTCATCCTCCTTCTCCTCATTATCTGTCATATCCACCCTCTTCACTCTACTGGCACAAAGGAACAAACTGAACATGCTTCAGACCTCTAGTGTGCTTATAAAAAATGACACTGATGTAGGCAACTACAATCTTCATAATTATATAAATTACATGAAAACAAGTACCTCACAGACATTTACAAAATGCACACATCCATACGTGGATACACACACACACACACACACACACACACACACACACACACACACACACGGACTTTTTTTAAGACCCGCCTTCTCACCCCTCCCCAGCTCTTCCTATAGCAAAGATTTCTCTGGCACCCCACACTTCAGTGTGCAGAGGTTTTGCCTAGAGACTTACCTTGCTTGACCAAGGTAGCCTGGCAGGAGGGCATTACTGATCTCGTCACCACTGCTCAGCCATCTAAGAACTAGTGTCCTAACAGACCCACTCAGAAGTTATTTTGATAGACTCCTTGCCACGGACTATGAGGTAGTGTCTCAGATTTCTGGAGCCATTTTTTAAAAGACTTTTTTTAATGTAATCGCATTTTTGCTACTGAAAAAGTAAAACAGCTTCTTTCTTCTTTTCGAGCTGGCACGACATGCCAGACTAAAGCCCTGGAGGCTGAAGGCCTCTGCATATTCATAGAACAGGTAAGCCCAAGTAGCCTTCTCTACACTGCACTGCCAACGTGCAGTTCCCAGGCCCTTGGCTTCTCAAACGAGACTATCTACAAGGAGGCCAATTAGCAACAGCTGTGATGGTGAGTTGGGGGA